AAAGTGAACCATCACAATTAAATTCAATCATTGAACTAATAAAAAAAATCTTGGCTACGTCGATACGACATTGGAGATGATAGAGATGATTGTCCAGGAATCAATGTAACCGTTGGTGAATAACAAGCTAGTTTAGAAAAGAAAAATCGATAAATTATTTCTTATATTATTCATATTATTACTTTCATTGATATTTAATGTTTGAGAAGTTGTTATGAATGCTGTGTTTGACATTATTGTTGAGTCTTTTACTGTTGAAATGAAGACATCTAAGAATAATGATTAATTAAAATTCAACCAAAATGACTCTGATCAATATACCTTCCAGAGTTTCTGTCGTACTTTCAGCAACAGTCGTTTGGATAATACTTGTAGTACTACTGCTAGCGGTAGTAGTAGTGCTACTTGATGTACTACTGCTGCTTGTGGTAGTACTACTTGAAGTGCTGCTGCTGCTACTTGTTGTAGTACTTGTTATAGTAGTAGTAGTACTATTGGTGGTGCTGCTGGTGGTGGCAGTGGTAGTGGTACTTGTAGCAATGATACTGCTTGTAGTACTGCTGGTGGCAGTAGTAGTTATACTACTGCTACTTGTGGTACTGGTAGTAGTAGTAGTAGTGGTGGTGGTCGGTTTTGCTGAAATATAAAACAATTGTGCTATACTCAGTCAAATTAGAGAGAATTTACGCTAAAAACATCAATATGAGATCAAATGATAGTCGCAAAAAACTAATTATCAACTACAATTTCATAATGTTTCATTATTTACAAGTAACTTACTGCAATTGTTGATTTGAAGAGTGAATTGTTGTACTCGATTATTACTTTGATCAGTAACATATATATTTCCACAACTATCAAAACTAAAAGTCGATGGATTACTTAATTGATTGGATGCTGAACCACTGGTAGATGTACATGCAATTATACATCGAAAGCCATTAGGTCCTGAACCAATAATACGATTATTATTACTGTCTACAATAAAAAGATATCCATCGCCATCAAGTGCAACATCACTAGGACAACTAAGTGAGATTGTTCCATTAGCGGTACTTCCTGCTACTGTCGTTGCTGTTACTTGCCCAGATAAAAATAATTGCACTCGATTGTTTCCACAATCAGCAACATATAAATTGAGATTTGTATCAACAAAGATTCCACGAGGATTATCAAGTGTATTCGAAGTTGATCCAGAACAACCTGTACCAGCTGCAACGATCCACAGACTTGAATTGCCATTCAATGATTTTATAGCAACTTGACTTTGACTATACATTGAACAGTAAAGAGTATTATTAATATCGATAAAGAGATCATAACATGCACCTTGAACTTGCATTATTGAACTACTTATATTTCCGTATGATGCCCATTTATCGACTCGATTATTTGCATATCCATTATCGACATAAATATCACCAGTGATTGTAGCAAAGATACTATATGGAGATGTAACACCACTAGTAATATTTCTTGTAGGTATACTACTTCCTGATAACCATACTTGAATCTGATTGTTTGCTTTATTGGCTACATAAACCGTATTGCTAGTGTCTATAAAAATTCCATATGGACTTGTGCCAACTGTACTACTATTTGCAAAAGTAATTCCATTGCTATCCCAAGTAGCATAGGCGCCAAATTTTGGTTGATTGAATGATATAACTAAAATAATATTAATTTTATTTCTTTTCTGCTATGTACAAACTACATAGTGGAATAACAAACAGCGATGCCCAAACTCACAGTTTAAGAATATTCATGTACTCTAGATGCTAAAATAGTTTGTGACGAGGCTTTCACTATTCAATAAGGCCTGTTTAGAATGCAAAACATGTATAGCAAGATATTGTGATATTGGTTTTTTTTCGAGTTATGACTATTTTACTATGCTTCTCATCTATAGAACTACATGTATTAAATACTCATTATCAGTTATTACATTACCATTAGAATAAGACACGGATGTTGATGCAGTGGTCGTTTGAATGATGCTCATCATAGTTGTTGCTAAAAACAAAGATAGTTTCTTAACAATATAGAAAAAGAAAGAAAGAAAGACATATTTAACTTACTGGTAGTTGTTACTGTGGTTGTATCTAAAACAAATAGAATTTTATTTATTTTAGATATTGAATAGGAGCGTTCATCATCATATATGCTTATACTTACTACATGAGTTTGATAAAAAGAGAAATTTTTGTACTCTCTGATTGTATTGATCGATGACAAATATATTTCCATAACTGTCAAAACTCATGCTTTGTGGATAATATAATTGGCTGGATGATGAACCATATGATCCAAAACATGCTGCTATACATCGAAAGCCATTAGGTCCTGAACCAATAATGCGATTGTTGCCATTGTCAACAATAAAAACATATCCATCACTATCGAGTATAACTCCAGTTGGAATGGAGAGTGTGATGGCTCCTGTTGATATTGTTGTTCCATTTGATTGTCCAGATGCAAATTTTTGAATCCGATTATTTCCATTATCAGCCACATATAAGTTTAAGTATTTATCGATAAAGATTCCATAAGGACTATGAAGTGTGGTCGATGTCGATCCAGCTGTATTACTTACACCGGCGACATTAGTCCATATATTTAAATTTTGGGTCAATGATTTGTAGATAACTTGATGATAAGAAGACAGTGAGCAGTAAAGCATATTATTGATATCGACAAAAAGACCGTAACATTGCCCGCACATATACATTGCTGGAACACTGCTTGTTGAATTCCATCCCCACTTATCAACCCGATAATTTGTGTTGCCATTGTCGACATAAACATCACTATTTTCCGTAACGAAGACGCTATAAGGTGTAGATAGACCACCAGAGTAATTGCCTGTAAGTGTGGTACTTCCGTTAAACCACACTTGAATCCTCCCATTCGATCGATCAGCGACATAAACGCTGTTATCTGTATTGACAAAAATGCCTAGAGGTAGTGTGCCAATCGTGGTGCCATCGGCAAAAGTTATAGCCGCCTGGTTCCACGTTGCATTTGCACAAAGTTTTGGTTGATTGTATGAAATACCTGTGAAAAATCATAGAACTATGAGATAGAATTCGAATAGTAATGATCATCATAAACTCAGAATCTAACTGTTGAATTTAGTGTGATGTTAAACAATATTATCGAGTTCGTACCTGTTATTTGTCTAACAATCAGCAAAAATAACCAAACATTGAGATAGTCAAAACGTATCATTTCGAATATCTAAAATATAATTCGATTTCATATTAATGGAATGATATTAGACAATATCAAATATCTTCACAACATCATACGACTACATATTCATTCGCATAATAAGTAGGAATTGTATTTATACGCTAGATAATCCGGATAGAAAATGGTTCGTGTATTTAAAAGGATTGTGAATTTTCATCGTATTTCAAAACAATCATTTACGACGTTATTTGCCATCATATTCTCATAAACTTCTTGTACTTCCTCGCTCTCTGAAGAATATAAAAACTAATATTTGTGATGTCCAGTCTGACTGATAGTTCCAATTGTTTTTATTTTGATGCAGCTTCTATGATATATCATACACGCTGAATAAGAAAAAAATAGAATTGGTTCCTACGCCCAGGTATATAACTTTGATAATGTTTAAAAAAATGTAAATACTTATTCGTCGATTTAATATAATAAATAACCTAAACAAAAAACTAAAACTTGCTCTACAATAGAATTACTTGCGACGATGTTTTTATCTAGTTGATATACATTCTCTGAAATATAAATAAAATTATTATTTTTTTGAGAGTTTGTTCAAAGACGAACAAAGAAATGGGAAAGACATGACTTATTTATTACTTCAGTTTTCACATTTCCTGTAAAATATTATTTTCATAAGTATTATGAATATGAGATAAAAAATAGGATGTATATCTTATGTAATTAGTGAAGTAGAAAGAAAAGTTTAGTAAATAATTTCAAAAGAAGTACTGTAAAATACTCTTCCATTTAGTTAAAGAGTAAACAACTCATTTTGAAATATTTAAAATTATGATAAAAACTAATTATATTTAAAATAGTTATATCAGATTTTTATTTTTGATATTAAAAGTACAAAAGAATTCATTTTAAATCGATATCTATGTCAGTGTTCAAACTGAGATTAGTCTCAAGATCGACATCATATTCTGTTTCTTGTTGGTAAATCGTCTACAGCTTTACTGATTCCAACTTAGTTGATCAGGTGTCGCTTGTGTAACTTAGAAAGTTGTCCAGTTATTAACGATTCAGTAAGAAATTGAAGTTTTGATGTTACATTCAGTCTCGGATCAGAGATTAAAATTTATCTTTTTTATGCAGAATCATTTTTATACTATACATCACTAGACTAAAATTCAATTTCTATGAAAAATTTGTTAACATTTAAAAGTGCATTACTACTTCAAGAAAATAAATACATCTTTACAGAACAAAAAAAAAGCAAATAGAAAAATGATAATTAAAAATAATTCCGCAGTTATATTTGATATTTAATTATTTATTTTTTTTATTCTTCATTACAAACTTTAAACAATGAATAAATATTAATAAGTATAGTATCATTTAAACTGCGACATATTTAATGAATATTGAAAGATTAGATTGATTCTAAGAAAGTGCATGATCGTGCGTATCAACCATTAAAAACAAGTTCTCTATTAGACACCTTAATTTATGCAGACATTACATTAAAGAAAAGACAAATATATGATTCATTTGTTATAAGAAAAAAAGAATCAAAATAATAGTTATTACTCAATATATCGAAAGCATTCTTACACACACTTGATATTTCAAATACTGTATCCAATAGTTGTCAAAGCTTGATTATTTACTTTAGTGAGATGATTCTTGTCCATATTACCCTTCACCCTTTATTACGAGTATGAGTGAGGGGTGGGAGTGGATTTGAAATAAACAGAATATCAACACTCACCTCCCACACTGTTACTCACATCCTCAACACCCACACCCTCGTGTATACCACATTAATCATTTTACATTATCATTAACGTTGACATCTATTATCGATGACGTGAACAAGTGTATTAAATTCAGTATCGATACAGAATCTAATAAGTATTCTAATAAAATTGCTTTGATTCAAATTCATACGATTTCATCAGCGTTACCTGCTCTTGTACTTATAGTTGAACTTAATCAATTACCACATGTTAATTCAGATTCATTTGAACAAATACGTTTATTATTTAGATTATTATTATTTAAACCAAGTAACAGTATCTACTGTTGGAGAAGACTCTGAGTTTTGATATTTTTTCTTTACCTTTAGCATGTCGTACAGTAAATCTACAAGATGACTTTAAGGTTTGCATCGAGGAGAATCTGCTTCCTTGTGAGGAGTGCGGTTCTGATGAAAACAACATTTATAATCGATGCAACTGTAGATGGCTGCCACATATTGAAACTGATGAAACTTGGAGTATACAAAATGCAATTCGATTTACATCACGTCTATTCCTCGACAAATCTTATACCAGAGCAGAATGGGGTCAGTTATTAAATAAAGATTATTCCAGAATACCAAAGTCAAGATTAAGATTATTAATTAATTATGTTGTTCATGATCTATTAACAGTATCTTATTTAGTTAATCCAGTTATGGAAAAATGGTCATACAAGAAATGTAGTGAAGCATCAATGACTTTTTTTAGTAACAGATACATCATCTTCAACAGCAACACATACAACAACATCATTAAAAATTGACAAAATTAAAAAAAATATTGGCGGTAATACCTTTAAAAATGTTTTAAATTTTTTAGAACCGATATCTGATGATGAATTAAATGGAAATGAAGGGGATAATGTTAATGGAAATAAAGAAGATAATGTTAATGGATATGGGAAGAGATCTGCTGGCGTAAGTCGGCCAGATCCTGCACCAAGAAGAGTTCGTCGAAGAAATCCACAATAGAAGAATCTACAAAATAAAAAGCATAACAAGCAAAGAAGAATGTTTCGTTACAAGTATTCCATCACACGACGTTGTTACAATCGCTTCACATTACGCCAGATGAGAAAAATTCTTTGTTTTTACAATATTATATTTACACATATTAAATTAGATGATTCAAGTGAAAATTTAATTATTGTTTTATCAAATGATGAACGAAGAAGAGAAGCAGAACGAACATTATCAAGCAACACCTTGAGCAAGAACAGTTATTACTATTATTGAAAAAAAATTCGGTAAAGTTATTTTTTTATTTTTCGTTATCTTTTTACTTTTTTGTTGTTAATTCCTTTTCTTTTTTTTCTCATATTGTTGTTAGTATCTTTTGTTGTTATGTTTTCACATGAAAAAAGTATTTTTACTTTTGTAAAAAATTTTTTTTGTTGTCGTGGAAGGGTGTTATGATATGAAATATCATGATATCTATACCGTTTATTTCTTTCGTGTTCTCCTTTGTTCTCTCTACATTTACATTTAATAGATAAAGAAGAAGAGGCAGTTATGCTTTAACATATCGAACTCGACGTCTCCTTTTCTTATACTAATAACAAAGCATAACACTCTTTCATTCTTATCTCATTCTCACCATCTAGATCCACCATCAATGGCCGTTTTCAGATAAGATTGTTTTTCCCTTTTTTTTCGCGGTATGCACATATACGATAAGACCTAACAATGATGAAGATCTACATTTTCTTCATGATGAACTAATTAATAATATTTGGATAATTAAACCGGTGTCGAAAATGTTAAGCAACGCGGAAGAGACTGTTGGTAAGTAAAAAAACGTTCATTATTCGGATCAATAATATGTATATAATCTCTATTTTAGCACGAGAAAGCAACAAAGGAAATGATTATCCGTATGTTTCTTTCCAGTATTCGTGTAAAACGAAGAATATAACTCTTTTTACTAAATGGTATAGTCCTAATCCAGATATAGTACCCAGGACGATGGTTCCTGAAGCAGGATTCCATGAAATCTCCGGAATACCACGGAATCGACCATTTCTGTGCCGGATTGTTCGACTTGGGTTATCATTATTCTTTAGATAGTAATCGCTCGAAGTTAACAATATCTTCTTCATTTTATGACATATTTATATCTTTGCTTTATATAATTGATTTATGTTTCTTTTTTTTGATGGACATCTTCAATTCATTTTTCTTGTTTATTTTCATTTTCATCATTTAATGGAATACATAATCAAGATTAACAAATAAATTAAAAGTAAAAAATGATCGTATTTAACAAAAAGAAGTGTGGATAGTGGGTGGGTGAATGTGGGCAGGAGTATCTATTATGAGAAAAGAATGACATAGACACCTACACTCACACCCACACGCTCAAGATGGTTTTTCATTGCATGATATCTTTATACAATAATTACGATTTTTTATTTGATAAGAAAGTAGAAGCAATACCAATAATTTATGCAGATGAGTTTAGATTTTATCTTGAAAAGTTTTATTTAAAATATACATGTATCTGTACCAACATATATAGTGATAATATATACCAAAATAAATTTGGTGAAGTAGATCTAGCACCATTCATTGCTGTAGTAGAACTAGTATTACTCACTGTCAACATGTCACTAGCACCATTCACTGTTAATTCAATAAAACGATCAGTGACAATTGATTGAAGCCAACTATGATAGGCTGAAGTACGTGTATATACACCAGCGTAACTAGACAGACCACATCCCTGCCCGTAGCTAGTTACACCAGCTAATACCCACTGGCGTTCCTTGGACTCGAAATACATTAAAGGGCCACCTGAATCACCTTGACATGTATCTAATACAATTATATATATATATATGTATGAAAAAATTCTTATTTTCACAACGAAATAGTTTATAAACAAAGATTTTTAATCGTTCTCTTACCTTTTCCACCACCCGATACAGCAGCACAAAACTGAAGTTGTCGATTATTAATTGAAGACGCGCACATTTGATGATCTGCCGGTAGAGAATTTACTGTCACTTGTTGAAGGTGTAGGTTAGATGGTATGGTCTGGTCTCCTGATCGTAACACACCCCATCCAATTGCCACCAGTGCTGAATTTGAGATGGGATAATTATAGGCCATGGATGTTGCATTAACTCGTGGGAAACATAATCGAGCAGTACCTTTTTCATTTGAAATAGTTAATGGTTGATTAAGTCGTAGGACTGCAATATCATTCGCTTTCGTGATGGTACTATATTGTGGATGTGAGAAAACCTGTAGTATGGAACGTTCTTGAGCCATCGGTGGTCTTTGAGAAAGTGCATCTATGCCAACAACTACTTTTGTAGAGCCAATATTAAATGAAGTGCCTACAACGCAATGAGCAGCAGTAATAATATGTAATGGTGATATAATTGTACCACCACAAAAATGACTATTAGTAGAGCTACGTTGTAAAGATACAGCCCATCCCCAACTAGAATCGACTGCTGATTCGCCACCAACAATTTTGTTTAATTGAGCATTCGTTTTTGAACATCCACATTCAGCATTTCGATCGCACGAATAGGTAACAGATGAAATACAATCAATATTATTGAAAAATAAAAAAATTGATAAAAGGTACATGTATGCCATCGAATGAATTTCAACACAAGTGAATGGTATAAAATTTTATTCCATTACTCCTCTCTTATCTACAACTACGTCATCAAAAATGACGTCTGATATGTTTATCACAGATCATTTTACATCACCGTCAATATTAAAGTATTGTTTTGTTATTATTCAAAATATGGTGATATATTTTTTTACGAATTGACTTTTTTTTAACGAAGAAATTAACATCAACAACATTCTCTTCATTGTTAAGCATGGCAATCTGAAATAAATCATCTTCTTATATGAATATTCTTTGTTTTGATTTTAAATTTGATAGTTCATTCAGACACGTTGTCAAAAAACAATCAATAAAAACAGTGTAAATATCATAGAATTATATTTAACATTAAATTTTTTAAATTATACATGCAACTCTATACATGTTTAAAAAATATTTGTAATAAGCACTGTAAGATTTAATTATGTTTGAATAGTATTTATCATATGATCACAAATAATGAAATCAGATATTACTTGATAAATGAAACTTGAGTAATACAATTGATTAAAGTCTACATATTCCTTTTGATATTTAACAAAAAACAAAAACATCATAACAATATTAGAATTTATTCATTTTAGTCGTAAAATTATTTAAGATTTTCCACTTGAATTTCCTTTGATTGAGGAACTGATGTTCGTGCTAAACTATAAGAAACACGATGATAATATTTTAAATGTCAGTTTAAAGAAATGATTCTCAATAGTATATATGGGCATGGCATATTACAGGAATGATCAATCACATGGTCACTTTCATTATAGATCTTTGTTGTTTTTGGATCTTCATTATTTGAAACAGCTCTAAATAAACGTCAAGCATAAATTGGCTTTAATTCATGTTTACTTAACAAATCACCATATAATCCTATTGAACAAGTTTTTTTTGTTTGAGCAAAAATGTATTGAATAATTAGCTGTTGTAAGACTATACGCCTCTTGAGGGTACGCGGATGAATACAAGACTGCGTCACACCCCTGGTGCATCAAACGAACAACAATTGTTTTATTTATTTTTCACGTGTTACCAAGTTCAATTTAGCTGTACGTAAGAGACGAGTTTGTTTTTTTCATATAATGATCAATAACATACATTTGTTCTTACTATTATTGTATAATTTAATTTTTTCAATGATTATAAACCCTCCTTTTGTATTGATATTGTATTATTCTTAATACTTATTTATACTTACTCCGTTTTTGTGTTTTAAAGATGAAAATTTCCCTGTATAACAAAAATATTGACGTTATGTAGCTTATTTAAGTCTCAAT